AGCTATTGAGGCAGTCGTTTACTTAGATTAAGAAGAGTGGCGGGTCCAACGCGGAACCCCATGGGACAACACTTTCTATTTTATTCATTCCGAAGTAGGGTTCCCAACACAGACTCTCTCCTTTCGGGGGGGCAAGAAACTCCGGATCCGTATTCTTCCTTGAATTTCCAATTCCCAACTATCCTGTAAAGGAAGCCTGTGTGGTATGCTATCAAAGGCCTTCTTGAAGCCGACTAAATGATATAAACTGGATATCTGTGGCTTTTGTCCATTTTTCATGTGAGTAAAGAGCACTCGTGAAGCAAGGGCATCCTGGACGAAAGTTGTGTTGGACATTGCATAATATTTTGTTTCTTTCCAGATGTCCCATTAAATGCTTCTGTATAATTAGTTCCATTACATTACATGCGATGCAATTTAAACTGACAGGACAGAAGTTTTCCCAGTCAAGCAGTGAACCTCTCTTATAGATCGGATGATTAATAATAATAATAACTTGTATATTTAAGTCCCAAGGGGCCCTTTAATTAATGCCCACTCCCATTCCTCCAGTAGTTCGCATTCCTCAAAAGACTTTTGAAATACAACCGACAGTGGTTTTAAGAGTTCTTTAGTAACTTCTCTCTGTGCCAATGCAGGAATTCTATCCGGCCTACTTGATTTAACGGGCTTTAGTTGGAGTAATTCGGCTCTGATTCACGCCAATGGAGGATAAGCAGGAGAGGGAAGTTGGAGATATTGGTTGACAAGCGGATGAAATAGTAGCAAAAAGTATACTCTAGAGTTAAGCGGCCAACAAGATAACCGTTTGTGGAGTCTCCAAGTCCAGACCGGCCATTCCAATACCCGGTAACAATCAGTAGATCGTGGCAATGAAACCTTTCAACTAATGCTTGCAGCTACGAGTAAAGCGCATCGTTCTCGTGCTATTCGGTAGTGGAGGTTAGTGCGTTTGCGGAGACAACAGAGGTAGCTGTGAAGTGGCTCCTCAAGTGCACTTAAGTCAACTGCTCACTGACTGGTTTCCAGGCAAGTAGTGTGCGCTTTGATTTTTGGAAGGGCAATCGCCTCCCCCGATGTCTACCAGAGGAGTTGCGTGGACCACCGATGTGTAGAGTGAAGTTTGATTTGGCTCCTGAGTCAGAAATCTGGACTTCGAACAGGCAGCAGGTATCTACGTTGTACTGTTAAAGACTACTTACCGTCAGGCTTTGTGTACCAGGGACCACGAACGTTCGCACAACACCACGGGTCCGATTCCGGTTTAGTAGTCCAGCTCGCATAGCATTAATCCACACCACTGTACTAGGGTTGCAGAGCGCTTCGGTTCCCGCGGACGCCGTAGTATGAATCGTAGTACCGGTATCGGACATAGTTTTCGCGAGGTGTCTTGAGAAGTACAGGCGGGTCCCTAACAGCCGCTCGGATTGTTTATTCAAATTTGACTCTCTAGCGCTTTGGCTGAACAGCCTAACCACAAAGCAGCTGATGACGGTCCACGGACGCCCTGCCCTATTTCTGATCGCTACCACCTCCTAAATTGTACTTAACACTACCATATTTTTCTCCCATTAGCACGTTTGTCCTCCGATCTCACGAGAGCGGGAGCATTGTAGTGCGATGAAGTTTTTGGCTGTATTAAGTTAAAGTATGCTCATTAAATAAGGTGTAAAACTTCAGATAACAAATCAGCGTGGTTGCTTCTTTGCGTCAATTACTTTCTTATCAATTTTATCGACTTATATATTTTCAGTCAGTACATTTGGAGTAAATGACCAAAGCCTTTAAAAACTCCAGTTTGGTGATGGCTATTTCTTCCATACGAGAATGAAGGGATTCTTCTCCTACATACCTATCGAAATACCGGTGAATTCGTTGAGATTGTGGAAGCCCTCGACCTGAACGGAATAGTAAGGTTTTTATCGAATGTATTGTATCCTTTTAGGAACATACCGGTTACAGAAACAGTCAGCTACTTCGGTGAAGTCATTGCCTCCAACCAGCAGTATATATGTAAGAATGTCATTATGCATGTCTAGACCTTAAGCCCGTATCTGCGATGGCATTATGGTGAAACGAAGCAGAAGGAGGGATTATAGGTTGACTCATTTTACGCAACGAAAGGACGCTCAAAGACATTAAGGTATATTTTAACTTCGAAAAAAAGTATTATTAACAAAAAACGGTAAGAAACAGATAAGACCCTAACCTTCGACGGCGGTGGTAGTAACAATCAAGGAGGACAAGGCGAGTACAGATGTACACAATTCCTTAGAAGACGAGGTACAATAAAAGATAAACTCAATTAAACCCTCAATTAAAACGCCACCGATGACTAAATTGAAAAATGGCGCCGCAGCTTCATCGCAAGTAACTGAAAAGTGTCAAGTGACTACGAAATTCTAAAGCCAACGAGAAGAGAAGACATCCTAATAGTATATGTTGAAATAGCTCAAAATACAATTGGACCAAAAGTAGCAGTGTTGGGGTTGATGAAACAGGCAGTATGCTGGCGCGGATTGAGAGGCTGGTTTGGACCTACACGGGCGTTTTGAAGACAACATAAATACGCTTGTCCTTCTTGAAGCAGTACGAATTTCCAGCTTCGTAGGAGTAGTAAGCGTAGTACTGCCCGCGGATGACGAACACATGCCAGACACGTCCGTACTTCTCGTCCAAGACCAGTTTAAGCCATTTGACAATTTCCTATATTTAATAAAGGTAGGAAGTAAGTCAGCATTGAACACTTTTGAGACAGATGAATAATAAAAACGCCCACATAAATAATTAAGTAACTTCATCTTAAACGTGTTCCCAAAGCGTCGTAAATGTTAGTACTACCTTAAAAATAGGATTGTTTTTAAGTATACTTCGAATAAACTAACATGTGTATCAGCACATTTTAAATAGGTTTAAGTGACGGCCTGACGGCTCCGCAAAACATTTTCAATAAACTGAATCGACATTAATGATGTGTTTAATCAAAGATAAAGCGTTCTTAGGGCAAATAGTGGGAAACCTTGCTGTGTTTGGATAGATTAAGCCTACCTGTTTTAGAGATTAGTGTGATCTCGTTTCGGCAGATCATCACCCTCCCAAAGGGCTACACAATCCTACGAATAACAGGAAAACTTACTTTTACGGAGAACTCCATAGACCTTATATCCTGTCTTCGGAATCTTGTTCAACGGGTGACGGATTATAATTGGTTAGTTAAGAAAAATGCTATCTGAACCCTCATGGGTTTTCAACCCATGGCGAGGAAACAACTCTCCCCAAATGATGACCTGATACAGTGAATTTCCACACCCTACGCATCAAAAAGGCAACTAAATTCATCGGCTAGACACCACAACTACAGGATTGTAGTGAGTGAGGACCTTCCAGTCCAATAAAAGAAGCACGACAAACTTTGTAGGCGCGCTCGAAACCAGAACTCAGATCGGATTACTCACAATCGTGTTTTGGCTTAGAGGTTGCCGTTAGACAAGATGCGAGTTCTCACATCTTTTCGTACTGAATAGCAATAGGTGGCAGACATCATAGACCATTGCCAATACAAGCGAACATGCGTGTCCCAGGAAGCAACTGAGAAGAAGACTCGAGTCTTCTTCTCAATCATAGACCGTGTTAAAAGTGCTCGAACAACGTAACGCCTGAGCTAAATGCGATTATGTGAGGAGTTCGACAGGCAGTTGCTGTTATGTCATTCGACGGGGCCACAAACATCCGTTCACTACTACGAGTGTACTAAAAGTATTTAACTGAAAACCGAAATAACAATTACTGGATACAATGTATCTACAAGAGTTAGGTAAGACCAATGGTTCGGATTGATCTGTCTTTAAACTATGCCGAGCAAGCATTTTTTATTGCAAAGGCAAACAAAGTAGGAAGTGTAAGATGTTTCTGAGTTCTGGCATAGGTCGCAAATACTTCACAAACAACCCTTGGTGGCAGATGGGGCCAGTTTGTAAATCAAACTTTATTTAAAAATTATTAGCCCTCTATGACATCTTCTTAATAGCGTGGAGAAATATATTATTTCTCCTTACACGGAATGTAATTTAAAAAAGCCCTAAGTGCGAGCACAACTGCGGAGTGGTTTCGAAATACTTCGAGACTTTCTAAAATCACAAGATACGTTAAAAAAATAGAGTTATTAGAAGACGTAATAGTGACCCCTGGGCGTTTAAAATAGATTTTATTCATTTATTTGTTTATAATTTGTTACCAAACGAGTGCAAGAAAGAATATTTTTGTGCGTTTCGTTTATACGAATGTATTTGGCTTTATAAACGCATAGGAAATTAATTTGAAAATGCATACTACTTGAGCAGTCTGTTTTTACCGAGCATGATTTTGCAGGCGGTCGGAAGGAAGTTCCTTAAAAAAACGGCATCTTGGCATGGTTTAAATATATTGGGCTTATGCTGTAGGGTAAATAATATTACACGCCCACATTTAATGAGATAAACCAGATACCGTATATCGTATATTTAAATCATATCCGCCGGTAAGGACCTTTGGCTGTGACAATGATTCGCTCTCACAGCCCCCAGTAAGCGACTGGCGGATATGTTTACTGGTCGAGCCCTCTTTCGAGGGCCACGTTTGCAAAATCTGACTATCCAACTGGTCCAACATTAATTTACAGTCGAAATGCAAGCTATGCTCCGGTGAAGACGAAGGAGAGGCAAGTTTAGCCTTCGTCTCAGTGACTTCGTGTTCATTAAACTTCATGATAATCCGTTTACCGGCTTCGTCAACATAATTGGCTTGGTCACGCTTGCATTTTATTTGGCAACTGGCATGAGATTCTGACTGGGGAGTACGGAACCGAGTGAGAATGGCGCAGTGACTAGTTTCTTTCCTAGTAACTTAACCCACTGCAGTAGACGGCTAAAAAACAAATAAAGATAGCATACCGGTTTGCAACTACTTTACGTACTCAGCTTGCACATCCTAAGGACAGCATTTGGCTATTTCAACAGAAATCGGCGACGAGTGGTTGTGTGAAACTAGTGCCTGACAACAAATTATCGTAAGACACTACTAACGACAATCGATAGATAGGTGTGTAATACGGGGGCGGTGTAGAACAGTTTAAAGGGTGGTACCACGTTGGCAATCAACATGAATTTATATGCTTACCGTCGTCGTTTAGGCGAGCTTGTTTTTTGCATTGAATTAAACTGTCCTACAGACCTAATTATATAATTTGCCTACACGCCAACCTACTCCAAACCCTAGGCCTATTCAGTGCGTTTGTTAGGGTTAGCATTGATTGCTGGATAAGTAGGATTGTCCAATGGATTTCTGTCAAGAGATCGTCTACAAAATACCGTGTGCCAACTAAGATGCAGTCTATTGCGGTCAAACCAAGAAATCTCTCTCCATGCGTACACATTAACATCAGCTATCGGTGAAGAGACAAGACCACTTATCGCAGGGAGCCGTGCACATACCGAATACAGGACACATGTTTGTGTGGGAGAAAACCCGCACCGTTGGCGTCTGATAATAAGAAACGGCCACGAATTCCTGAAGGCAATGCATCTGGTCGAAGCATGCGTTAATAGGTATATTGGTTTAAATGCCGTTAAACCATTTTAAAGGCCAGATGGAAGTTAATACAGCCACTCTCGAACAGATAACTGAGTGCAGCGTAAGCTTATTTGCCTATACTTTGATCAACCACAGAATCTTGTATCCGGCATTGTTTAAAGTTAACTGCGTTTTGTACAGGGCCAAATGTCTGAAGACGAACTGGGGACCAGACCCCAAAATGTAAATACTAACCTTATTTTGTTCCAGACGAACTTCATATCTTCTCATTATATTTCCTGGGATGCCGAAATTTCAATACATACATATGTAGCGACCCCTTATTCTCAGTCATGCTTTCCTCGGACGTCGCGGGGACAA